GCGCTCTACCACTTGAGCCACAGCGCCACTTCCGGCTTTTTTCTTTTTGCTTATGTGGTGCTGAGGAATCGAACCCAGGACCTCAGGCATGCAAAGCAAGCGCTCTACCACTGAGCTACCTTCCCAGCCCTGAGGATCTTTTTTTTTTTAAGATTTTTGTTAGCATCCAGTGGTTGTACAGGGATATCAGTGAAATGTCCACAGGTGTGTACAACGTAACCCACTGAGCTCAGCCCTCACTTCCCTAACCCTAATTTATTTATTCAGACAGTATTTTGCTTGAACTAAGGCCCTGAGCTAGTGTTCTACCACTGGAGCCACACCTCCATTTTCTGCTTTTTGGTGGGTAAGTGGAGATCAGAGTCTCAGGAACTTTCCTGCCAGGCCTGACTTCAGACCTCAATCCTCAGATCTCAACCTTCTGAGTAGCTGGGATTACAGGCGTGAGCCACCATGTCCAGCTCGTGATTGAGTTTGTCCCACAGACATTAGCAAGCACTCTTGGCATTGATTGGCTCCACAGTGCCACGGAGAGTTCATTTGACACAGGCAGGTTTGCTGCCATCCATGTCTTACCTTTTACTAAATATAGCTTTTTTTTTTTTTTTTTTTTGTCCATCCTGGGGCTTGAACTCAGGGCCTGGATGCTGTCCCTGAGCATTTTCACTCAAGGCTAGTGCTCTACCCACTTTGCGCCCCAGCACCACTTCCAGTTTTCTGGTGTAATTGGAGATAAGAGTCTCATAGACTTTCCTGCCTAGGCTGGCTTTGAATCTCAGATCTCAGCCTCCTGAATTGTTAGTGTTATAGGCATGAGCCACCGGCGCCCAGCTTAAATCTGGCTGTGTCATTCAGTTTTTTGTCAAAAAAATACCACAAACTCTACTAAACCTAACAGGGGAGCCAGTCCCCGCCCTCACCATTCACCAGACAAACTGTATGCATTCACACTTAAACACTGGCCCTACTTAAGAACACACCTTTGTCCGCTACTGAGCCTCAGTTTCCCCCTCTGTTCCTAGGGCTAATCCACAAGGGAAGGCTCAGAGGCCTGAGCCGGGCCCTGGCCTAAGTCACCGAGAAAGGGCAAAAGCAGGCTGACCCCCTGGGGGAATCCTATATTGCCCCACTTTGCAGACAAGGAAACTGAGGCTCCAGAAGGCTGGCTTTTCTGGCACGTGTTCTGTGCCAAGGCCACCGTGGCTTGGTCATAACCCGTGCACCATGGCACAGACCACAGGGAGCTGCATTGGTGGGGTGTCCACTGTCCTTGCCGCTGCATGGAGTCATTGGGGGGAGGGGGAGGTGAAGAAAGCTCACTGCCTGTCCCCAGCCCCCTGGGGGGTTTGTCGCAGTGGGACAGAGGGGGCACAGGGAAGATCGGGGCAGGAGGTTGGGAAGATGGGGGCTGTCGGGAACCTCCCGGGAGCCCAGGGTGCCTGCCCCGTGTCCCCAGGGTGGAGGCTGCCCCAGCCGGAGCATCTGCCGTCACTGTGGACGTGGACACGGCCAGCCAGGCTTCGGAGCCCGCCAGCCAGGCCTCCGATGAGGAGGACGCGCCCGCCACCGACATCTACTTTGTAAGTTCCCCAGTGCCAGGCGTGTGCAGTGTCCATGTGCCCCCCACGCCCCTCCCCACAGCCCCCACGTGCCGCGTGGGCACCGGACGGGCGCCGTGGCCCCTGTACACGTACCCTTCCACACTCGTGGCTCTCACCCCCAAGCTCCTACCCCACGCCCCCTCTCTGGCCTCGGCCACGCCACCCCACTTCACACTCTCGCGGGGAGACCCTGGCTCAGGCCAAGGGCCTGGGTACCCTCAGCCGTGTGGAAATGAGAACGTTCTCCAAGGGTGGGCAAGGGTCGGGGGGAGACCACACAGCTGCCAACGCTGGAGGCTGGGTCAGCCTGGCCTTGGGTGCCAGTGGACACCCCTCCTTCCCCCACCCGGGGCTCACCCCCCCATTTCCCACACGGTCAATCCAGTGACACCCCCCCAAAAAACCCAGAACCCTGGGGCCAGCCCCACTCAGATGTCATATGGCTACATTGTAGCTGGGGACAGCCAGAGCTCCCCCTCAGCCATCAGGGTCCCCTGGGGCTCCAGGGGTCAGCCTGGGCGCCCGGCTTCCGCCCTGAGCCTGAGGCCAGCGTTGCTTCCTGACTAACAGCCCCCCCTCTCAGTCCTGCTGTGGGCCCCAGAGCCCAGGCCTGGCCCTGGATGGAGCAGAAATGGGTCAGTCCCCAGCCTGCAGCTGGGGACCCGGTGTGTAGCGGCCTGGTCTGTTGCTGGTCTGTGCCTGGTGTAGGGTTGGCCTGGGGCCGTGTCTTTTCCGGATGTGCCCGTGTCCCTGCAGAGCGGCTAGCAGGTCTGTGGGACCCTCCTGCTCCCTGCACACGCCCCCCTCCCCCTTCTCGTGCTTCAGCCGGCATGTCTCCCCCACCCCCGCCTGCCAGCCCCGCTGTCTCTCCACCTCTTCCTGCCTGGGTCCTGTCCCTCATCCTGTCTACCCTCTCTTCCTTCCTCCCGCCGGCCCGCACCCGCCAGTTCGCCGATGGGAGGTACTGGATTTTCTCTCCCCGTCATCGCCGACTGCGGGCCATGACGCCAAGCGCCTCGGCCACTGTAAGTGACCGCAGCCGGCCACCCGGGGAGAGGGGGCCTCGCCCACCTCGGGCCAGCAGGGAGCTGCGGGCCCCCTGGCCCTGTACAGTGTCCAGCGTCTCTTCTCCGAGGATGCTGGGGAAATAACTAGTTGAGGCTGGCCGATGCCTGTGTCCTAGGAGACTATGGAGCGGAGCCCCAGGTTGAAGCAGGGACTGATGTGGCGGGGTCTAAGCTGACCCCTCCCCCTGCCCGCCGGCCTTCATCTTCACCCCAGCCTTCCGGTGTCCAGTGTGCTGAGTGGACACTTCCTGCCGTTCAGATTTGTGGCACAGAGCAGGCCACATGGTCAGCAGAGCCCCGAGCACCACCACAGATGAAGTCTAGGCACTTCTTTCTGCCATTTGAACATCAAGCACCCAGAGAGGCTGAGTAACCTACCCAGAGCTGCACAGCATCAGAGCAGAGGTGCAAGACTCTCTGTTCTCAAGACGAAGCCCCCTCAAAGCAGCCCCCCAGCCCCATCAGCCAACCTGTCTGATTTGTTTGCCTTCACTGAGTGCCTTGGTCTGGGTTGGAAAGCCGGGAAGGACAGGGAACCTCGGCAGGGCCCAGCGGAAGCGGAAGCGGAAGCATGGCAACCACAGGGAAGGAGAGGGGAATGGCTAGCTGGAGGGCGAAGCCCCAGGCGACGTTCCCTGGCCTTGATCTGGGGTCCTGCATCTGGGCACCGTGCGGCCCGGTGGCCCTGCCAGAGGACAGGGAAGCTGGCCCTTCCACCCTGTGATGTGGTCTTGGTGTCCAGTTGTTTCCGCCCAGGGACAGTGGCTCCTCCCAGAACCTGCTCTGACATGGCCTTCAGAGCCACTGCCAGCCTCTCCTCCCCCACCCAGGCTGGCTCTCTGGGGGCCTTGGGGAGCCTCCTCTGATCCCATGTTTCTGAACCCCAGCACAAGCTCACAGAGCTAGCGGTCACCCTTCCAGTGTGGAGCAGCAGTGCGGGACGCCTGGGCTGGCCTCTCAGGCCAGAGAGGTGATCCTCCACCTCCTCACGGGCGTTGGTACCTTTGTGCCTCTGTCACTCCCTCCTGCGGGCCTGGGGTGGGACTTCCTGGGCAGAGGAGCTGCCCCTGGGAGGGGAGGATCTGGCCCACCTAGACAGCACAGAAGATCACAGCAGGGAGGGACACTGGGATAACCAATGACTGGGCTGGGCTGGAGGGGGAGCGGGGTGTCTCAGCTGCTATTTGGAGTGGACAGATCAGGGCCGGGCCTAAAGGTGCTAGATGGACGGAGCCAGAGTAGATGCATGTTCAGACCCAGGCAGAAGTCCACAGCTGGCTGTACCCAGAGGGATCTGGAAAACTAAAACCTTGGGCACACAGAGAGCATGAGAGAGGAGGACAAGCCCCGGGCCACCAGGAGCAGACGGGAGTCACATATCCCCACACCCCCGCCCAGACTCAGCAGGGAGGCCCCTGACGCGGCCTCAGGTGAGCCTGACTGGGCCTCACCCTGCCGCCCCCCCACTCCCTTCGACTCTGTCTCAGATGACCCTGCTCCAGGCACCAGGGCGGCATGGCCCGCCAGCTGTGCGTTCAGGTCCCCACAGGCCTCCCCGCGGTCGGGAACAGTGGTTTATGCTCCGGAGCATCAGAAGCACCCAGGACCCAGGATCCAGCTCAGGCTGACCCTCAAGGGTTGGAAGGAGGGGAAGTCAGTCAAAGAGGAGCAAGGGGAGGAGGAGCTAGCAGGGGAGGGGAAGCAGCTAGCAGAGGGAGGGAGGAGGCAGGGTCAGTGGGTGGAGAAGCAGCTGGAAGGGTGGGGCCAACAGAGATGGGCCCTGGGTCAGCAGGTGTTGGAAAAAGCTGGGGGGACAGAGGCAACATATCAGGTGGGGCGGAGTTAGGGGGTGGGGCCTGCAGAGGCACTGGAGGGGTGGGCGGAGTTAGGTCGGGGGCGGGGCCTCCGTGTGGGGCGGAGTTAGAGGAGTGGGGCCACCCGATAGGGCGTTCGTGTATGGGTGTGGCCTCTGGTAGGCGGGGATAGAGTGGGGCGGAGTTAGAGTGGGGCTTCCAGGTGGGATGGAATTGTCTGTGGGCGTGGCCACATGGGCGGAGTTAGAGGCGTGAGGTTTGCACCCGCTCGGAGGCGCGGGGGGGGGCGGGGGTCCGCCGGGAGGAGCGGGGTCCCGCGGCAGAGCGTCCCCACGCACCCCTCCTTCTGTCCTTCCCTCCTGTCCTGCGCCTGGACCACACTAACCGCCGCCCGCTGCCTCCCGCGCCGCGCTGCGCCCAGGGTCTGGGTTTGGGGCCCGTGCCCGGCCCGGAGGGCTCGCCCGCGTGGGTCCCCTCTTTTTATTTTCTCCTGTCTCTTCCTTCTGCCTCCGCTGTCTCGCCTCCTCCTCCCTGCTGCGCCCCTCCTGCACGCCCGCCCCCCGGCCGCGCAGCCCACGGATGAGAGGAGCTGGGTGTACTCCCCGCTTCACTATTGCGCGCAGGGGCAGCCCGCCTCCGACGGCGAGAGCGACACAGTAAGTGCGGCGGGCCAGGCCCATGCCCGGCAGGGACCCGCGACCGACGGGGAAACTGAGGCTGGGAGGGCGGGCGCAGGCAGCCCCAGCTGCGCCCAGGTGGCCACCCCAAGCATCTCCGAGCCTGTTTCGGTCCAGTGGCCCGGGAAGCCCGGCGCTGGCACCCGGCTTGGTTCAGGCAAGGTCCGGCTGGCCACGGGAGGCCTGGCAGGGGGGGTCCACGTACCCCCCAGGACTCCCCCCTCACCTGCCCCCCTCACCTTTGCAGTAATGTCTATGCAGTCCCCACCCGAGCCCGGCGCCCGCCTCGCCCCGGCTGCTTCCTGGAGGCGCTGCCCGCCCGGCGGAGGCCACGTGCCCAGCGACCGGCCGCCCGGGCCACCCCTGGCCGGACCTCGTCCTCGTCCTCCCCTGATGGATGCTGACAGCGAGCCCGTCCCCACCGACAGTTCCAGGGACGACGGGGTCCGCCCCAGTATCCAGGCCCGGGGAGCAGCGACCTGTGGAGCAGCAGTCGTGTATTTATTTGGGGTCCTTCCTTCACAGAGACGGAAGCACGCATGTGCTTTTCTACGAAAAAATGACAGAAGACACACACAAAAGCGCAGGAGACCCCGGGTGGGTCTCTGCTGCATTTGCATGTGTCCCGGTGGCCCTGGGAAAGCCTGCCCACTCGAGCCTCACCGAGCTGGGCAGCACAGAGGTGGCAGACACCTGGAAGCAGCGCCTCCCTCCCTCGACTCAGGTTTGGGGGCTTCTGTGCAGGATGGGCATCCCCGGTGGTGGTCCTGCCCAACCCTCTGCCCCTCCCCCCCACACCCACTTAACGCCAGGAGGGATGCCCCACCACCCGTGTGCACTATGGGTAAGAATGGCCAAGACGTTAACAATCAGACCCGCACCAGGAGGGACCTTGCACCCATGCCACTCCATCTTGGTACAGCTTGGGACTGTGGGCCACACGATGCCCAGAAAGGACTCCAAGTAAAATAACCTTGGGCAGGAGACCCTGGCCTCAGGACGGGTATAGACAGCAGAGTCCTGGAGATGACCAGGGCTGACCTTCAGCCACTCCACCCCATGGTGGCTACCCAGGGCCTGGGAGTCCCCTTCCAGGCCAGGATGGGCACATCTGTACAGTGACCGGCACACCTCAGCAGATGAGCATCCAGGGCCACCGGGCCTCACGAGGCTGCGGCCATCATCACCACACAGGACTCCTGGAGGTGAAATGGGTCACTGTCGTCAGCACTCCTCCCCTATCCAAGAAGCCCTGGCAGGAGAAGACACACCTTCGGGAAGAAGCTTAACCTTGGGTCAGCCAGGAATCAGGTTTTCTTCCACTGTTGGAGGAAGTGCAGGTGTGGCTCAAGTGGTAGAGCACCAGCCTTGAACAGAAAAGCTAGGATAGTACCCAGGCCCTGAGTTCAAGCCCCAATACTGGCGTGCACATGCACGCACATGTGCGCACACACAAATTCTGTTGGAAGCTCCAAGCTGCACAGCTATGGCCTGTCCAGCCCCTCCTGGTTCCATCCCGACTTCGAGGAAGCCTCTAGCCTGCCCCTCCAGCCCAGCTGCTGGGACCAAGCCCACACTCCACAGTCCACCCAGGACTCCTGAGGCCAGGCTTCACAGGGCCCGAGGGGACACAGCAGGGTCCTCCCTCCCCTGCCCAGGGAGGGTTTGTCGCAACCTGGGAAGTGGCCTTGGCCCTGATTCCCAGACAGGCACCTGGTCAGCCATGATTGGTCTCTTGTCCAACTGCCCTTCTACAGAAGGAGGTGGGGGGTGGGGAACACTGCGACAGAGATCTAAAGGGGCTAAGACCTGAGTGACAATCAAGGCTGGCTGTGTCATGGCCACTCCTGGACCCCTGGGGACCAGGGTCCCCACATCCAGTTGGTCATCAGTGAATCCTGTGCCGTGGGGGTCACGAGGCAAGGATGATTCCCACTGTGGATGTCCTGACATTTTTTGTGTCAAGTCCTGGAGACTCCTTCGGAGACCTATGTTTGCGTGGCCACGGTTTTTGACCCTTTTGTGTCAAGGGACCACATTGTTATTTGGGAGACACAGAGTGGAAAGGCAAGACCTATTTATAACATTTGGCACTCCTCACCCTTCTTTAGCCCCCAGGAGGAAGGTTCTGGACTGTTCTTCCTCCACCTAGGAAATCTGTAAATACCCTCATGGCCACTTCCACCCACCCATCCCCATCCTTCTCCGATGGCTGCTACCATTCCAGTCAGGGACAGTGTCCAAAATCCTGTACTGTAAGATCGGAGAGACATTTCCTTTTCTCTCTGATTGACAAGGTGGAATCTCCAGGTGTCCTCTCCGGCCTCTGTCCCTATCCACCCCACACCTGATTCAGTGCAATACTTACTCCGTCCCCCTGGGGACCCCTAGCCATGGTACTGTCTCCACCGCCCCTTGGTCCCCCCACCCCAGGACATATGTCCACCGACCTTTTTTTCTCTGGTGGTTAAAATTTGCATCTCCCAATCTCGTTTTTAATGGCCGAACCAATTCTTAAAACTGCAAACCTCGTGTGTCTTAACTCTCACTGGGGAGGGGGGGGTCCCCCTGGTCCTCAGCCCCTGTGGTCTGGTGTGTGACAATCCAGAGCACGGCTGCCCCTGGCTCCCACAAAGAAGCCGTGACCCCCAACCCAGAACCATGGGCACGTCCAATAGTCCAGCTACTGCTGGCTCCAGAAGACACGTGTATGCAGCCCACCCGCCCATGCCACAATCCTTTTTACGTTGAAGAGATCTCTAATAAATCGGGTATAAACATCAGTTTGTCTGCTTGCCTCTTGCGGGGGCAAAGGGAGAGTTCCTGGGGTCTGAGGTTGGAGGATGGGCTGAGTCCCAGGTGGGCACTTAGGGAGGCCAAAGCAGGAGGATCACTTGAACCCAGGAGGTTAAGGACAGGCTGGACAACACAGTAAAACACCCATCTCAAAAAACTAGACACCATAGAATTGAAACAAGTAGGTTGGACAGAGTGGTGCCTGTCTGTAATCCCAGCTACTAAGGAGGCAGAGGTGGAAGGATCAATATAGACCTTAGCGGAAAAGAAAGCAGGGGTGGGGGCTGCTAGGAATATGGCTTATGTAGTAGAGCACCTGCCTAGAACCTGTCAAGTCCTGAGTTCAAACTCCAGTACTGCTATGAAAAAGGCCCAAGCACATTTAGAAGAGCTGTGGCCTCCAGGGGATCTGGTTCAGCTCAGAAAACATCTCAAAGCCCGTGATGTAGTGCAGTCAGACTCCAAGGAGCAATCTTCCCGAAGTGCATGCTTCCTTCCTGGGGTCTCACAGGCCTGGGGCATTGTCACAGCCCGGGGCCAGCAGGATCCAGTATTTAGTGTTTCGAAGTTGTAATGTGTCTTCGTTTCTTTCTCTCTCTTTTTTTTTTTTTTTTTTTGCTGGTCCTAGAGCTTGTTTTGTGCTCAAGGTTAATGTCTACCACTTTAGCCACAGCTCTACTTCTGGCTTCTTTTAATATGGTTAATTGGAGGTAGGAGTCTTGTGGACTTTCCTGCCCCGGCTGGCTACAAACCTCCATCCTCAGATCTCAGCCTCCTGAGTAGCTAGGATGCCAGGCGTGAGCCACCGGCGACCAGCTCTATGGCCTTTTCAAACTCCTCTTTTTGATTCGACACCCCGCCCACCTTTCTGTATTCCCCCCATAGCCACGCCCCCTACACGCCTCCGCAGGCATTGCTCTTGGCCACGCCCACTCGTCACAGGGCACACCTCCCGTCACGCCCCCTTAGACCACGCCTTCTTTCGGTTCCTCCTCCAACGTCTTGTCCAACCTCGGACCCGCCTCCTCTGGGTTCCGCGTTATCAAGCCCCGCCCTATTCAAGGTTATGAAGACCCGAATGGAGTTTCCTTTTTCACTGCCTGAAGAAAGATGCCAACCATTCCCGCTTACCAAAGTCCAGTCTGACTCTTACCACGCAAGTCACGCACGCAGAAGTAGAGGCGATTCTAGGTCGTCGCCTTCCTGCGATCGGGGAGGCGGGAGGGGGCTCATTCTCTGGATCAGGCGCCCCTGGGGCAGCCCCAGAGGCGCCGCGGCCGTGGAAGGCCCCTCAATCCCGGGCCCCCGGCTGCCGGCGTCCGCGCCGCCGCCGTCGCTTCTGATGGGTGGTGACACACGCTCGCGCTCGCGGTCGGCGGGTCGCCGGGGCCGGAGGCAGCGGAGTCAGAGTGCGAGTCGCAGCCGGAGTCGGAGTCGCAGCGGGAGCCATGGTCGGCGCAGCCGGCGGCGCCGGGAGGACGAGGGGCGGCGCCGGCGGAAGCGGCGGAGCCGGGATCGCAGGTAGCGGCGGGGCTCCCTGGAGACACCCCACCTCAGGCGACGTGTCCGGGAGGGCTTCCTGGAGGGAGGGACGTCGCGGCGCGGGTCGGAATGAGCCGGGCGGGGAACGCAGAGGGCCGGGCGTTCCGGGCCGGGCGCCTGCGGGTTGGAGGGGCCGAAGGGACCAGGAGCGCGGGAGGTGAGGTCGGAGCGGCTGCGGGGAGCCGCCGTGCGGGGAGCCGTCTGCTCGTCGTCCGGAGTGAAGTGGGAGCGTGGGAGAAGTCTGAGCAGGGCCTTGAGGTGGCGTGGCTTGCTGTGTGTGCGTGCGTGTGTGCGTGCGTGTGTGTGCGCGCGCGTGTGCGCGTGTGTGCGTGCGTGTGTGTGTGCGTGCGTGTGTGTGCGCGTGTGTGTGTGCGTGTGTGCGTGCGTGCGT